ACATAGCTGCTCCATCACCGGCCTGGGCTACCACACCCGGCTAAGCTGCTCCAACTGGCTGAACTGCTGGAGTCTGGAACTGGGGAGCTACCTGCTCCGGAGTGCGAGTAGCAGGAGTCTGGGCTCCTCCTCCAGCCTGAGAGACGGATGGTGCTACAGGAAGCAAGCCTGCCCGAGTGACACTCTCCATAAGGCCCACTAGACGGACCAGAGCATCCTGAAGGATTGGGGTGGCAATAAACCCCTCTAGGACCTGAGCTGGGCCCACCGGAACTGCTGGGGCCAGAACCTCATCATCAAAATCAACCCGAGGCTCCGCCGCTAGTGCTGCTGCTCGGGGATGAGCTCTACCCCTACCTCGGCCGCTAGCACGGCCTCGCCCTCGCCCTTTGCCCCTCGTGGGAGCTGCTGCTGGGGGCTCGGGCTGCTGATCGGCAGATGAGGAAGCGCGCATTCTCGGCATCTGCGAGAGAACATAATAGAAATTCAATCAGCATTGAGAAACCAAACCGCACGACATGAAAGCAAAGATGTGAAATTTTCCTAACTTTGTAGCCTCTGGGGGATAAATACAGACGTCTCCGTACCGATCCCTCAGACTCTATTAAGCTTTTCTGTGAACCGTGAGACCCATGTAACCTAAAACTCTGATACCAACTTGTCACGACCCGGATCTCTCACCCCGGGGGTCGTGATGGCGCCTACTAATGTGAGCTAGGCAAGCCAATCCTTAAACCACTTACCTAATTATCCAAATATTTTCCTTTAACCAATTATATAGCGATAACATGATAACAGCGAAAATTCAACTTTAAACGAAAGACAACAATAAAATGAAATATCTGGAATCTCTGTCTATTACAATTACTCAAACCTTAACCATCCAAAACCTGGTGTCACAGTGTCACAGACAGTCTAAGATTCACTACACACAAAGTCTGAAGAAATAACAGTACACTATTTCTGAAATAAGAAAAATGAAACAGGGAATAGAAAATAGAGGAGACATCGGGCCTGCAGACGTCTGCAGGGCTACCTCAGAATCTCTGTGGACTGAGGGCTGACTCCCCAAGCGCTACTGCTCAAAAGCTGCTCCGGTATCTGCACATAGTGTAGAGTGTAGCATCAGCACAACCGACCCCATGTGCTGGTAAGTGTTTGGCCTAACCCCAGCGAGGTAGTGACGAGGCTAGGACCAGACTCCAGATAAACCTGTGCAGTTATATAACATACGGCGGAAAAATAACAGAAATAACTGTCTAAATAGGAGGGGGTACATGCTTCGGGGAAACATACCAAATCCAGCAGAAACTTAAAAGAAATATGAAAGAACAACTCAGAATCTACAACCCAACAATGATAATAACTCTGTTGCGGCGCGCAACCCGATCCAATATAACATTTAACACTGTTGCGGCGTGCAACCCGATCCAATATAACATTTGTTGCGGCGTGCAACCCGATCCATATTTAGATTTGTTACGGTGTGCAACTCGATCCATATTTAGTATTGTTGCGCGTGCAACCCGATCCATATATATATAATATCAACAACAACTATACCAAGTATCCCGGCAAGGGATCATCAACAACTACTCTGTCCCGGCAAGGGACTTAACAGTAAAATAAACACGTCCCGGCAAGGAGAATCAGCTATACCCAATCTTAACTCAACTTCTACTCATCTCAGATAACACTAATACCCAATCACAAGTACTTTCCAGGGAAACAAACTCAATCCTTAATCAATATCGAGGATCATCAATTAAAGCATCTGTAGTATCATTTAAGAACATAGCAAACTACGATTTAAGACTCACGGTCATGCTTGACACCAACGTATAGATACTCGTCACCATGCCTATACGTCGTACTCAACAAGAAACAATTAGCAAATAGGACTCAACTCCTAATCCCTCAAGCTAAGGTTAGACCGAACACAATTCACGCTTCAATTATAGCTTTACCCCTCGATTCCACCACCATCACTCGTATCTAGTCACAAGTTACTTAATTACATTAATAACCGCTAAATGAATCAATTCGAATGCATAAAAATGAATTTTCCAATGTTTTACCCAAAAAGTCAAATATCGCCCCCGGGCCCACATGGTCAAAACTCGAGGTTCGAACCAAAACCCGATTACCCATTCCCCCACGAACTCAAATATATAATTTGTTTTGAAATCGGACCTCAAATCGAGGTCCAAATCCCCATTTTTAAAAACCTAAGGTTCTACCCAAACACCAATTTCCCATGAAAATCCTTGATTTAAGTTGAAATCATGTTAAAAGAGGCTAAGAATTGAAGAAAGTTAGTTAAAAATGACTTACAATTGATTTGGAGAAGAAGGAATTCTTGAGAAATCGCTTAGGTGTGTTTGTGTTTGAGAGAATATGAAAAATGGGTTTTAAAATCGGCTAAGTATAAAAAATTGCAGGTCTCAGATGTGGGAATTGCGAACAGGGGTTCGCAACTGCGAACCCTTCAGAAATGCTGGACCTTCGCATTTGCGAAAGAAATGTCGCATTTGCGACTTGGGAATTGCGAACACAGGGCCGCATTTGCGACCCAAAGCTGACTAGAGGAGTTTCGCATTTGCGATCATAAACGTCGCTTTGCAACTGGTCCTTCGCATTTGCGAGCCAATTGGTCGCATTTGCGATCAGGCCTGCCTAGGTCCCATTTTCGCATTTGCGATGGAGGTCTCGCATGCGAAGCCTGCAGACCTGAATCACACCAGCAAATTTTTAAGTTCAAAATGCACCCCGTGGTCTATCCAAAACTCAACCGAGCCCTCGGGGCTCCAAACCAAATATACGCACAACCTCAAAAACATCCTACAGACTTATTCGTGCACTCAAATCACCAAAATTACATCTTGAACATCGAATTAAACCTCAAGATCAAAGAATTTTTCTTAAACTTCATAAAACATCAACTTTAGCAATTTAGGTCCGAATCACGTCAAACGACATTCGTTTTTTACCAAATTTTACAGAAATGTCTTAAATCATATATAAAATCTGTACCGGGCGCCGGGACCAAAATACGGGCCCAATACCATCATGTTCTAATCAAATTTCCTTAAAAAATTTCAGAAAATAATTTCCTTTAAAAATTCATTTCTCGGGCTTGGGACCTCGGAATTCGATTTCGGGCATACGCCCAAGTAGTCAAAATAGCACGGTATAGCCAGTTTTCGCACTGGTTAATCAAAAATAGCCAGCGTTTACCAAGTCAATGAAAAATAGCCACTATTTTGCTGCAACAGAGACCGGTCCCGTATAATATACGGGAGTTCGGTGCATTTGTGTACGAACTCCAGCATATTATGCTTGACCGGTATACTTTGCTGACTCCTGTATAATATACGGGAGACTGGAGCACCGGTGCTCCAAACTCCAGTATATTATACTGGACATTTATACTTGCTGGAACTCCAGTATATTATGCGGGAGTTCCAGCATAATTATACTTGAACTCCCGCATATTATACGGGAGTTCCAACATAGTTATCCTGGAACTCCCGTATAATATGCTTTTCGCTCAGATTTATCTTTACATGAAAAGTGGCTAAATTTCGATTACTTTTGAAACTGGGCTATTTTTGAATGACCAGTTATAAATCTGGCTATTTTTAAATTTTTCCCGCCCAAGTCCCGTATGTTCCTACGGGCCCGGGTCCGTTTACCCAAAACGTTGACCGAAGTCAAATTAATTCATTTATTAGCCAATTTTTATCATTTTCACAGATTTTTATATTTAAGCTTTCCGGCTACGTGCCCGGACTGTGCACGCAAATCGAGGTGACTCCTAATGAGATTTTCGAGACCTCGGAGGCATAGAATTTAATTTAAAAACAAGTGATGACCTTTTGGGTCATCACATGCTGGTTCAAGGCGTGCCAAGAAAGGCTCATCAATTCAAGAAGCATCGGTGTCAAGTAACCATCTAACAAAAGATCCTCAGGTCTGCGCCAAATCAAGCAACTCCGCTTTACCAGTTACAACTGCAAGTCAGTTTCCCTCTTCTGGCGATTCCTCCCAAATGAGTCCCGTATCCTCCATTAACTGTTAGTTACTTCTTAGCTAGATATGTGAAGGGTGGCTTTATATCCCTTTGGGCTAAAGTTTATCTTACCGATTGGCAAATTCTCCAGCATTGATGCTTAATTTTCTTTTATCGAAATTCTCACATTTTTCTCTTTATTAAACATGTGTTTATCTTGCCTGAATATTGCAGGTGTCAAAGTTGCAGAACATAAAAGCTAATATTGTTTGTGACTCAACCCCTTAGCTAAGACGAACATCATCCTTTGATAGAACATGGGAAGAAAACGTTGCTGAATCTGTTACTGATGAACTTATGCTGCAAATGTACTCCTCAAGTGTTACTTCTTCAACAAGTGAGCCCTTTGCCGGTATTGAGTAGCCAGATGAAGGTAACAGAAACAAATCCAAAGAATCAAAACTAATTAAGTCTGGCCCCTCCTCTCATGAAGAGAAAAAGGTGGGCAAGACACAGGATGAGAAAAAATCTAGGCCTCGAAGAATGAGAGAGTTCCTCAATATCAAGATTAGTCAGGTCAGTCCATTATGTGGGCTAATAACTTATTGTAGCTTCGTCAGTTTGTTTGTTTTCGGAACTAATACAAGTTTGATATGCATGAACTAGGTTGAGTTACATGTTACATATGAAGGATAAAGATTTGCTGTGAGTGATTTAAGATTACTGATGGATACATTCCATCGTGTTGAATTTACTGGAACCTGGCGGAGGCTATTCTCAAGAGTTAAGAAACACATCATATGGGGAGTCCTAAAATCAACAAGAATGCAGGTTAGTTTCTTTGAAATTATATTTTTCCAATTTCCATTATCTGTAATCATTCAATATTTGACCACATTAAATATCTTTATCTGTTGCTGTATGATAATCGGTAATAAGTATCTCCAGACTCATCGACTACCTCAAGAGGACTAACACTTCAGTGACCATGTCTTTTATACTAATGCAGGGCAAGAAGTTTAAAGATAAAGCACATAATCAAAGGGAAGCTGGTGCTGCTGGTGTCCCCGATATTGATCTTAATCTCAGTGATAGTGATGGTGGTTCAGCCGGAAAATCCGAGCAGAACCCTTTATCCTGGCCTAAGCAACCCCCTGAGGGTGCAGGTGATGGTTTTGTCACCTCTATAAAAGGCCTTTTCAATTCTCAGCGCAGAAAGGCCAGGGCTTTCGTGCTTCGGACAATGAGGGGTGAAGCAGAAAATGAGATACCTGGTGACTGGAGTGAAAGTGAGGCAGAGTTCTCTCCCTTTGCCAGACAACTAACCATAACAAAAGCCAAGAAGCTCATTAGACGGCATACAAAGAAGTTTCGTTCTAGAGGACCAAAAGGTTGGCAGAGCTTTTTCCATGTTGAAAGTATCCTGTTCTCTCTTTTATGGTCCTATTGTTTTCCTCTTGGAAGAACTAATGTAGGATGCCATTCTGTGCTCTCTGTTGTGCTAAAGCCAGCAGAACTGGCATTAATAGCTTTCTAATAGGCCCAGCATTTTATGATGTCTAGATTGCTTAGTCACAGTTGATATTTTAGTCCTCTGGTTTTGGGCCAGTTTGGCTGACAGTGTGGTCGTATTAATTTTAAGCTATGCTACAAAGTATCAGTAATATTGGTTACTGACACAAGTCTTTCTTTCCAGGTTTATCTTCTCAACAAAGAGAATCACTTCCTTCATCACCAAGAGAGACCACCCCATTTGAAAGTGATTCATCAAGTGAATCTTCGCCTTATGAGGATTTCCACGAGTTGCTGAACTTGAGACATTGAAAGCACGTATTTTATGGGATCCAAAGTGGATTGGAACAATCCTCGGTTATATGCAACATTCTGCTATTATAGCAATTCCAATTGATTAGGATTTGCTGAGATTCTTGTCTCCTGCTTAGACAGTATGAGATGCCTACATGTTATTCCAAAATAAGAACAGGCAAGAATTGCGAGAATATGCAGAAGTCTACAATTATTAACATTTCAATGCCTTCTTAGAGCTCTGGATTCATCATAGAAATAGAGCAAAGGTGANATTCCTCAGCATCACTAGTATACTCGAAACCAAAGACTAGAAACCTTACAAGGAGGAAATGGATCTAACCATTTTTATAAAGGTAAATACCTTTTCAAATTAAATTCTAGCTGTCTACATGCCACGTAATCCCATTTTCACTTTCCCCAGTTCCCAGATATCATAGTGGAAAAGAGTTTGTGCCACATACACTGGTACAACACAAAAATATTTACCTTCGCAAAGCAAGACATATTACTAGGTCGACATTCCACGTTACATAATATTCACATTATATATTAAGTGCCATGTAGTGCGGCTGTAGCTAGCAGAGAAGCAGGGGAAAATCCTTAAAATTCAAAGGATTTACAAGCTGCGGGGGAAAAACATGGATTTGTTTATGTACACACGTCTGATAAATGTGAATCAGTTACACTATTGAATTTGTGACCACTATATCTAAAAGCTTAAACTTTTAGAAAGGTACATTTTTATTTACCTAGTTATACCTTCAATGTACCCTCACGTGCAAACTTGATACACCCCGACATTTACCTATTTCATCTAGACCATTCACAAGAAGCCAAGCAAAGGAGTTGCAGGATCTTGGATTATTGATTATGAAGCTTAAAGCATCCGAAGGAGTTTTAGAGAAGTCTCATACACATTACAATGTGTTCCAGTGGTTTCAAGACCAAGACTTGAGGCAAGAGGATGAACTTGGAGTAGGGTCTACCCAAAGTGGCCAATTTTTATTATAAGTCACTCTTTAAGGCTATTTTAGGAATTCCTTATACCTAAAATAACAATAGTATAAATAGCTAAGCATTAGTGCCTTTAGAATTAGACTTGATGAATGATAAAACTTGAACACATGCAAGTCTCACACTCTTTCCTTATCTTTTAATTAATGCATTTATGTTTATGCCTTTAATTCCTTTATTGCTTTGTTTATGCTTTCATTAGTGCTAAATTGGTCTTAGTTGGTGAGCAATTAATAGTGAATGCTTAATTTCTTAATTACTTTATCCGGGTTTTCAAGAGTTGCCAATCTCTTGAGGGTTTTCATAGCTTAGGGTTACAATTGATTGAGTTCATAGAGGTAATTAGGCTTCAGAGCCTAATTGGTTCTTGTTCTTCCAATCAGTTGTAGGTCTAGCTCTTATTGTTGATTCCGTGTATTTTGTCATATCCGTGTTAGGGTTCATAGTTCGTATCATCTTGGTATCAGAGCGGAGGTCAAGGATTTGTCTATCAATCCTTGAGTTTTGTTTTGATTATCATTAAATCAGAAAATCACAAAAAAAATTGAAAAAATAGAAGAAAATTATTTTGGGTTACTGTTCATCCGTGCTCTGTTTTGTTTCCAGAATTAGAACTTCGCTACTGTTCCTAACACTACTGTTCGAAATACCTTCTAAAATTCTGAAAACTTCTGAAGATTTGAGTATCGATCGATTCGTAGCTCGAGTAATTACTGGTTTGAGTTTCGATTGAAGCTGGGTTTGAGCTTCTGAACCCTAAGACGACGTGAACAAGAAGAGTTGAAAAATTTGGGGATTTGCTCCGAATCGAAATTTTGAGCTCGAAATTGATTGGGTGTTATTTCTATTCATTGTTAACGTGATTCTGAACTCGTGATTGAAGATTGAGATCGATTTGAGCTGATTTTCTAGGGTTTTGGGTCGAAAATTTGAACCGATTGTGCGAAGAAGAAGACGACCTAGGGTTCGTCGATTTTCTGAGTGTTTGAACAAATTGATTTCGAAATTCTGTTCGAGCTGTTGTCGAGAGTTTGTGGCTAGAGTTTGGGTCCAGTAGATGACGTTTTGAGTGAGGTTTACCAGAAGAATTTGAGTAGAGCTTGAATCAGTCGAAGAACACTTGTTTCGATTGAAGAACTTCTCGAACTGATACGAGTCGATTCGAGCAGCTGGTAAATCGAAGAAGAACATTTGTAGAGCTTATTCGAATTGCTTGTAGGTTGAAGTATTTTTGGAGTCAATTCTCTCAAGAAGACGAAGAACAGCATCCACTGATTCGCAACTAAAAAATTGCAGCTGTGTTCTCCATTTTTTAGGACTCGTTTGCAACTGAATTATCGCCACGAACTTCAATTCATTCATCGCAACTATTCAGGTTTTGATTTGCACAACTTTGCTGCCCAGTTGCTGCATCTGTGAGCTGCTGAAACCTGGAGTTTTGGACTAGCATTAGAGCAAAGAAATCTGCCCTGTTTCTGCAGTTTTGGAACAATATCAGAGGACTGAAAATTTTTCCCACTTTCAACTGTTTTTGGTGCTTCAGCTACTGCACAGTTTGAGCTGAATTTCTGCCCTGTTCAGCTGCAGTTTTCTGGATAGTTTGGACAGAAATTTCTGGACTATTATTTCTCCATAGTTTGAGCTGGTTTTCTGCACAATTTGAACTGAACAGGTCTGCTGAAATTTGTACAGTATTCTACACAGTTTCTCCACCAATTCGAGCTGCTGAAATTTGCAGCTTGGGACATCATTTGAGCTAGGAAATCAGTAGCATTGGGGTAGTGTTTGAGAGCAATTTCTGCCCTGTTTCTCTCCTGATTGAGCTGCTGAAAATTTGCAGTTTTGGACAAGAGTTTGAGCTGAGGATTTAGGTGCTTAGGAAGGGATTTGAAGCTGGAAAATTGAAGTTTCGAGAAAGGAAATCTAGCAAATTGCAACAAGTCCAGAGAGGAGTTCAGAAGTTCAGAAATTGTTCTGTCCAGTTTTCTCTTTTTTTTCCCGTTAATCTTTTCTTCTTGTTTGTTAATTCTCAACTAGATTAACTTGATATTAGTTCATATTGAGTTTAATTCTAGTTTCTTTGTGTGCTTAGTTTTCTTTCGTGCCAATTTTTTCGTGCTTTTGTCTTTTAATTTCGTTGTGAATTGCTTGGTTCAAGTCCGTTTGCTTTTAATTGTCCGTCCTTGTGAATACACAACTTCCACTCCACCCCGAAGACGGTTGGAACTTGTTGTGAAACCTTGGAACTTAAGTTTGCTAGCAATTTTGACATTAACTACTTGAGCGGGAAAAGGCAAGAGCGAATAGAACTTTGAGCACGCAAGAGCCAATTGGTGCAAAGTGTGATACACGAGGGTTGAGCGACATCAAGTGAGTTTGTGAGGACTTTTACTACTAACTTGTTTGCTCATTTTGTAGGTATCATGGAGTACGGACAAACTTCTACTCCTAATTGTGATCCATGGAGTGAGACTCCGATGCGTGATGTTGTTTCTATGCTTATGACATAAGCGAGAAGGTTACCAACTTAAGTGAGAAGGTTACCAATATTAGCATACGACAACACCAAACGGATGCAAGGTTGAATTCCATGATAGAGGAATCTCACTTGAGGCAATAAGGAAGGGAGCGTAGTATGACGCTTACTAATTCTTCTACTACACCCTCTCCTTCACAAGTGAGACAAATGCTTCAAAGGGGAAATTCGCAACCCAACCAACCCAACCAAATACCACAAAACTTACCAAAGCGACCACTTTCACCAAAGGGACCTTATTTTCCTCCACCAAACTACCGTCCACCTACCAACAACCACCTCAAGCATACATACCCATAATACCACCACCCCAAATGACCCAACCTAGACCACCAATGAATTTACCTCCCCAACGTATGCCTCAAGAACCACCAAGGAGGGACAACCTCCCTCCTCCACCACCCATACCACCTCAAGAGCCTCGAATGATTAACAACCCACTTTATCAATATGATCATGAGACCACCTTGAATGAGTTGGACAACATCCAACAAGTTTTCCATGATAAATATAGGGGGAATAAAGTGAACCAAAGGGGAAGAGGCCAAATGAGTTTGAGAACGTCCTTGAAAAATACAAAGAGAAAAAGTAAGGATGAGAGACAAAAGATAGAGAGTAGTGAGGGAGAGAAAAGTGACAACTCTAGAGTGGATAAAGGAGAGAAAGTATGGAGTGAAGTGAGTGAGTTGTCACAAGAAAAGAGTGAAGAGCTTAAAAAGAAAATGAGAGACAAGAAAGAAGGAAAACAAAAAGAGAGTGAAATTTTTCCTTATTCTAATGCTAACAACCTTTCTTCTTTCTCTAGTTGTAACACTCCTCAAATCTATAAAAGTTTCAAGACCCGCTAAATATAGAATTTACTTTTTATAATCTTAAATTATAGTTTTATTATGGATTAAAAACCCCTGTGATTGATTTTTGAGTTACTTTGATATTTATAAATAATTGGTTATATAATTATGGTAATGTTAATAATTTTAATATTACTAATTATTAAAAGTGGGTATCATTAGTTATTAGTTAAGTCAAAACAAAACAAAAAGGGAAAAACAATAAAAGTAAAATAATAAATAAAAAGGAGGGGGGCCATACGTATTTCTTTTAAGAAAAAAGTCAAAAGGCTTGAAAGCCTTAATCAAACCCAACTAAGAAGAGGCCTGAAGGCAAGCCTTAACAAAACAGAAGGTTAATTTTGTTCTGAGACTCACGCATCGACAAGAAAAAGAGGCAGCAAGGTTGCTCACACAGGCAACGAAAATTCTAGGGTTCTTTACAAATCACTAATTTTTGAACCCAGGTATATAAAATTTCTATTGTCAATTACGTACCCTATAGTAGTAATAGGTAGGAATTGAATAGTTAACTTCCTTCTTCCTCTATATCGACAATAAATTTCATATTTACGTGTAGTACTTTAAAAATTGATTAAAATGCACTGGTTGTTGTAGAATCGATTGTTTGACTG